TTCATCTATTTTCAATTATATTTTTTGTACATCTATACTATACCACATTAATAACTGATGTGAGCTAACTGGTTGTTCAGGTTAGATTTGCATTCTGATCCAAAGATTACAGGTTGCTGAATTATCCCTTAAGCTTCCTAGCCTTGTGGATCCATTAAGCCTTAATTAAAGAAGCATCTTAGGAAAAAAAAATAATCAGACCATTTATATCCAAAGAAGATGCACACTGGTCATTTGTTTGTGCACCAGCATAAAAATTATTATTTAATGGAAATTTTAATCACAGTAAACTTATACATAGATATATATTAAATGCATTAATCTTTCTATAAGGTTATTCACAATGTATAAGGTTACTCCTCTGAAAAGACTGCTTCAGATTGCTTTCCGGTAATGCTAATACCCATTAAAAAGATGAATATATATGTGTGTAAGTCAATCATAAGGTATTAAAGAGGTGTAGCAACTTAAGCTTCTTTTCTTCTTGGCAGGTCACTTTGAGAAATGTCCTAGTTCAATTAAAATATTTTTTCCATTTCCTAGGAGTAGATTCAGATATGCTTTGTCTGTTCTCTATCTTATCTTCACTGTCAGGATTTAAAACAAAACTGAGTGAGGAATAAGGTTATTCCAGCTGCCTCAGATCCTGAACAGGTTCAAATGTAAGGGTGCATATATGTGTATATRTCTGTGTTTTCATCACATATATGTTGTGGCTAAACACCTGTGTGATGTAAAAGTGCATTTTTTAAGAGTCTGTACAATTTTGTAGAATTTAAGCTGGGATAAACTGCATTTTCTGTTCTTCAGATACCCATTTCTTCATCTCTTGTTTGTAAATGCTAAGTAGTGAGTGGAAACCATCGAAATAAGAATGCATGGTGTGGCAGTTTCTTTCAGATTAGATTGGTACTACGAATTTAGGTAAGAAAAATTATCATGTAGGCAACTGTCATATTACATGTAAATGACTAAAAAYATTGCATATCTTAAAAAAGAAATGCATTGTTTTATAATAGTACCATACAACTGAAGAATTCATRTAATAGTCTCAGAAAAACAGAATTGCCTAATTGGCTGCTTAGTTCTGCTGTAGACACTCTGTATAAAGCATTACTTTGTGCCCAACATGGATTCTGATGCAAAACTGGAAAAAATGCTCCTGGAAATAATTTCAATTCTTGCATGTTTTGGGGAAATATATTAMAATTATAGCTATAAAATGAACTCTGTGACCCAATTGTGGATGAAGGGAAATGTGATACTTTCATATTAGAGTGATACCATTAGACCTTCCTCCTCCTTTCATCTTGCAACAGGCYTGACAACATTCTTTCTCCTTATATTATTGTTATTAATAATAAAACATGCCCAAATTTTAGGTATGTTTGCGTGTACTTATGGTGTGTTACTTGTAAAACTGGAAAATATTTAGATTCAGATATAGTAATGATGGAAAATTGTATTTCAGACCAGAATGCAAATCAGTTTACTAATAAAAATTAATTAGTAATTCCCAGAGATTATATTTATTATAGACCAGTACCTGACTGTCAAAAGATCTTTCTTTTAAAATCCTATTCACTTTGCTAGGTAACATCATGAAGCATGTGAGTTTGCTTTACTGAATTCTGGGTTTTCTCTTTTACATCAGTTTTATAGTAAAATACAAAAATAATTTCTCATATTTTACTGGCCATTCACAATATCAGGTACCAGGAAAGTTCAACATATTTYGCAAACCTCATTTGATTTGCTATACATGTGAATATTTCTCTGTTTATGTATAGTTAATTCGGTGATTTTAATATAGCTTTTGACTCAAAAAAAAATTCTCCATTGGTCCAACAACAGTTCTGTGTTCAAACAGGTTGGGCTAGATGCCTTTAATTGAAATAACTAAATGAAGTCTGCTAAAATCAATCCTGTTTCAAAATTAGCCAGAAACCTCACAATGAAGGACTCTGCTCTCTTCATCCAGGAAACTTCTAATGGTTGTTCCTCAGGATTGGGGGATGGCATCTTGTAATTCCAKCAGTACTTAGGAGACAGTACTTATGTTCATACTCACTCTCAAGTTCCCATTACTTTCAGTTTTTCCCATTGCTTTTAACTTATTTGTACCAGACTGTGTGCTACTGTTTTAACAAGTGAAAGAATATGGACATTGGAAAACAGAAAACTCAGTGTAGTTTCTTGGGCGGGTTTTTTTTTCCTTCAGTTTGTTTTTGTTTTGTTTTTTTCTCTCTTATCCTTTTCCCCCTTAAAGCAGAGGATTGTTTTTCTAATGCACAACCAGCATGGGCTGGTTTCAGATTTTCTTACAGCGTGGAGATATGGTTGGTCCCTGTGCTAGGAAATCTAATGACTCTACTTTGGATTCGATTAAGGGTTCGAAAGAACAAGTTGGACAATACAAGCTGAAGGAAGCCTTAGTAGGCTCCCCTACTTTTGAGCTTATCTCGGCATAGTTACTCTTCTGGTTTACAGTTTCTACCAATAAAAGTAGCTCTTCAGCAATTTTTTTTAATGAAATTGGCCTGACATGTGCCTCTCTTGTGTTGTGCCTGTCAGAATTAGCTGTGTGTATTACTTTTGTTACCTCTCTGCTCATTAAGTTAGTTGATTCATTTTGGAGTCACAAAACGTTTAGGGAGGGGAAAATTTTGATCAAATCAACCTTGGATGGAAACAACTGCCTGTTTGCCATCTGCAGTGGGCATTGATCCCTAGCTTGTTTGTGCCTTGCATTTGTTATGCATGAGTAAGCRCATTAGCCTTTTCACTTCATTCATTAGACAGTTAGTCCTTGATTAGTGTTTCCTAGTTTCTGTCAAAAATGCTACTACTCCTTTATTTGGTTTGTCTTGGGTCTGTCTTATGCTTCAGTGTGTAGAGAATGAACAGTTAACTACAACAATAGTCCTTTCATTTCTTTTTCATATAAAACTGGCTAACAAATATACTTTTCTAATGCCGGCGCATCTAAGGCAGGATAAAGTATGAATGATGGGTCTTTCTAAAGTTAACAGAGTTATTATTTGAGTTCAGCTGGCAGGCTTTGTTTAGAAGTGTGATGTCTCAGGGTTTACTGTCAGCTTTATTTCATCCGTCTCCAAGAGCTGTGGGATCACCTGGATACTTGTGGATATTTGCCTTATAAAATTGCACATAAAAAATAAATTTAAATTAATGATGAGTGCACTTTGAGAATACAGCACTGAAAGTTTCAGATGACAGTTTGGATGACAGGATAGAACAATAAGGCATTTTTTGACTAACACCAGTCCATTCACTAGGGAATTTTGCTGTCATTTCCTTGCAGAACAGTGAAATGTTGAATGACAATTCCATTCTTAAATAGAATAGAAAAATACATAAATAATTATTATGTGATGTGCATAAAGCAACAAAAAATGTACATCTTTAGAAACTGCATAACAAGGTAATGAAAAAAATTGAGTACCTTGGTGGAGTCAATACATTTGATGTTGCTACTAACTGATTTTCTTTGATCAGTGATCACAAGTTTTGCCAAAAAATTCTATACTCTCTTACATCCATATGTAGATAGTGTGCATAAAATTTTATGAATTATATATTGCTTTTTATTYGTAACTGTAAAAGTTTATTTGTATATTATCAATCTATTGGAACAATTTTAACTTTGACTTTAATGGTATTGAAGTTCATACATTTTTCTTTTCAAAGCACCCTTGGGTTAGCAAACCAAACTTTGAAGGTTGGACCGGTCAGTTCTCTGGTGCATGCCCTGCTTAAAATTAAATAAAAAAAAAACTTATTTAATCACAAAGTTTTGCACACATGGCTTATACTAGTGGGAACTTTTATATGTGTATTAAATGCTTCTTTATTTTTAATTCAAATTAACATTGATTATTTTAAATAAAAATTATTTTAAATGAAAGTTTTATTCATGTTTGGAATTATTAATACATTATTTAAGTATTTGATTTGGGTTTTTTCTTCCAAATTCTAATTCTCGTTGTTTGAAAATTCTTTAAAATGTTTTTAGATATAGTATAGTATATTGCTTATACTGAATTTGATATTTCTCTAAAATTCTTYGGTTTTATAGTACTATAATCTTTTTAATTGGTAAATAATGGGTGGGCAGGTTTTAGTATGAGAAAAAAATATTGCATGATCTCCACTGAGGAAAATACTCTCTTCATACTGGCAAAGGAGATATAAAAAATGTTTTGAAAACTGACTCTAGCACATCATTTCCRAATATTCTATTTTCAACAACTCCCACCAGCCCAATGAGCTGATTCTCTTCTAAATGTTATACATTTATAAATATTTCATATGGCTATTTTATTTCACACRCATGTTATTTAATTAAATTGTTAAAATAATTWATTTWATTTTAAAATATGTTGATAAAAYTTATTTAATTTGATTAAAAAATCTCTTTTTTATATTACACAATATTTCCCCCCATGATTTCACATCTTGACATACAGCAAATGGGGATTCTAGCAATTATTCCTATTTTCTATCCAATTTTAGAGAAAACTATTGAATACCATATGCAAATATCAAYTTGTATGCATATAAAGTGACTTTGCTAAATCTGTCACTCACTGGATTTCAAATGGATTTTAAATAGTTTATTGAGTATTTCTACAAGACAGAACTGTGTCAATGGTCTTATAGTAAACCTTCACAATACCGAGATGTTATTTGCTGTATAAAATTTGAAGATGCTTTCAGCACACAAAACTATCGTGTCTGATTTGTAAAAAGAAGTAATGGAGACTTCAACAATAATAATGAATTATTAAGTTCAGATAACTCCCATTCTGGGGACAGTGTATCTGTAAGCTTTCTACGTGATTAGAGTATTGCTCTTGTTGAAAATGACAATTCACAGAACACCTTGCAAATGATATGCATTGTTTACAGGTTTGGTGTTCTGTTTTGTAATTTTCCTGTCACAATAGATTTATGATGCTTTTTTTTTATCTTGTTAGGATGCTTCAATTGCCCACAGATTCCATATCATGAGAGAAAAACATCCAGAGAAGTTCAACAGTAGGTAAGAATCTAAAAATATGTGCATATAAAAATATTTTTCCATGTTACTAAGATATGTTCTGTGAGGGGTTAAGTTTTGCACATCCTTTAAAATATTGATTCCTATGAAAGAGAGGAAATTGCTTCATTTTATATTAAGCATATGCTTCCAGACTACTTGTAGTGTAACTTTTTCATATCTGSTRTTTCAGCTGAAATGAATAGAATTAMAGATAAACTGTTCTCACAGGTGAGATGTTTGCCTTGTAAGAGATGAGCTGATGCATTGTGTTTGTGAGGATCCCTGAACTGACAACTTTGCCATTAGGCACTGAGGAACCCTTCTTAGACAGCTGCAGATGGTGATCCTTATGTTTCATTCCCACACTCACACTGGTACAATGACAGGGGGCTCATCCATATATACTCTTAGTAAGGGCAAGTGAATGCCATTTTACACATAAATGCTTTAATCATTAAACAACTTTGTTTCTATTAAAATAAAGTTGGGAATGAGATTTTGCATCTGTTTCTCTTGTGTTGCTTTTTCAATTTTCAGTGCTATTGCAGAGCTTTTCTGGAGATTAAAAATGTATTACATTTACTGTAAATTCAATATCTGTTGAGTAGATAACATTCATAGGGAAATGTTTATGTTTGTTTCTTCTCACTTAGGTAATTTAGCAAGTAAGTTGTAATGGGTAAAAGCAACATTTCAGAAACTTTAATTAACCTTTAAAGAGACATGGGGAGAGAAAAGTATGATGCAACCTTATTTGGAATAAACAGAGAATGTCTGGAAATAATTATTAACATAATGTTTTGTCACTCTGAAGCTAACCATAGACTGTTTAGTTTTGCATGAGGGTGACCTGGAAAATCTTCTGTAGATACAAATCTTCTTAGACATCAGAATGATAAAATATGCTGTTTGTGTTCTCATCTAAGGGCTGTACAGAATGATGTTTAAAATTTGTTTGAATATTATCTCGCTTACTATTTTTACGATAAAAGTGTAAAATATGTTTGAATATTATCTTGTTTACTGTTTTTATGTTAAAAGTATATACTTTATATCTAATGGTCTGAATGGGGGCTTTTTTTCTCAAATAATCTATTTGAACATCTGTAAATGGCATACTAGGAACACAAGCAAATATTTCTAAGTCATGTAKTACTTATTTGTTTTCTTTGAGCTCCTTTTGCTAGCTCTGATGCTTCTCATTCTGAAAGACTTACACCATGATAAGATCTAAACTCGAGCCTGATCTATGCATCCTACCAGCAGAACTAGAGATATTGGACTTTTAGCAGATGATATTCTAGGCCCTGAAAATGAAGCTAGTTTATCAGTGGTCTTTCTGCATATTTTCAGCAGTTGGCAATTATAATTTATAAAAAGCTCGGCTAATATCATGCGTTTCAGATCAGATTTCATGTCACAATAAATCATATGCCATTAATAACATCTGCTAGCAGACTCACCTTGAAATTCATCTATATTTTAAGGAACCTGATATTTCTAACATTATCTTAAGGAAATTAATTACAAAAATATATAGTCCCAGTCCCTACGTACTTTGGTACTATGATATTGAAAGAACTTGAAAAAAGCAATGATTCTCCATGTATTTAAAGATTATTCAGAAAGGTTATGRCTTTCTAGGAAACAGTATAAAGACTTGAGCTAGATGTAACAGAAAATGTATTTTCTTTTGTGTATGAAAAAAAATACAGATTTCTGGTTTTGTTCAATAGAATTTTCCAGATGATGTTACTTCACAAATACTTTTTTACACTGCCAGTTATTTTCATGTTGAAATAAGTCCATAATATGTTGCAACAGCGTTTTCCTGGAGTATGTGAAAAGAAAGCCCTTTTTCAGTTGTCTRCTAAGCCCCAAAACTTAATTCATCAGAATATAGAAATTTCTATGCAATCTAAATTATTTAGGCTCAGCAAGTCCAACTCAAGTCTGATTCACAATGGTCTCCATAGTTAACAGCACCTGCTCCTTTGAAAATCCTACATTACTCATTTGAAAATCCTACACTGTCATATGGGCTTATCTCTTGCAATTTTAAAAAAACTCTTTTTTCTTTAGTTTCCTCTTGCTTAATTTTCCTACATTTTCGCTTTTATAGAGCAGGTCATTGAACTGAGGTTCTACTCTGAAAATGAACATGCAAAAATTTTCCTCAGGGAAGAGAAATTTGGTATTGTGTACAGAGGTCTTCTGAAATCCACAGATGCTGGATTTACTTCAGTTAAGTTTGGAGTTAGAGAATCTTTTACATTAAATCCTAGTAATGATCCTCAAATTCCTGAGGACAWTCCTTGCCATTTGATCCCAAGGTTCATGTGTTGAAAGAACATGCCAATGGGGAAACTCCTGACACATTCTACTTACGTGGAAGCAGAATCTTCTTGCACTTCTTTACTTTCTGAAAATGAATATTGCAAGATTTAGAAAGACTTTTTTAATGACTGCTAGCCAATGTTGTGGCATTCTTTGGAACTAGTTGACTAATTCTTGGGTACTGTGACTTATTTTGAAATTCTGCAGTGTTCACAGATTTTGGACAAAAACACTTAGTATTACTCACTCATACAAATCAAAAAAAATTGTTGTAGATTTCTAAATTTTCTAGAGGTAGTTAGACATATAAGTCTTTGGATAATCTAAGTTTGTGTAAATACTCTTGTGCTAATAATCCATGTTATCATTTCCTTTACATTGAAGCACTTGTTGATTTCAGTTTCTTAACATATTGAAATCGAGTTCCTTTGTCAAAAAGGTCTTCTGTTTTCAGAAGCTTAATTTTCGATGAAAATAGTCTTTAATACATGCCTTAATATTTTGCAAATGTTATACTTGTAAGCTGTGATATGGAATAGCTCCATATCGTTTTCCAAAGAAGGTTCAGCATAAATGTCTACCAGTGATTTTAAAAYAATCATTATTTGTTCCTAAACCTGGATYTGGAACAGAAGAATTCGGGTGATGGTCAAACAGCAAAGAATGGAAGTGAGAAGACAGTAGTAGCATCCTGAGCTCTGCCAGAAGAATGAATCTTAATATGTCATTTTAATKATATCTTTTGATCATTAGCATACATTATCAGAAACCAGGACTGACATTGCATTAAGATTTAAATATGTCCATAAACCCCAAAATCTCAGCTGTCACATTACTCACTCTACAGGTCTGAAGTGCTCACGACCCTGTGCTTGAGAAATCAGTTTCCTTCCCAACATGTCCTGCTTAAGAGTGGGGTCAAATTTTCCGATGTAAGTGTGGAAGGGCTTGAGTTASTGCCAGTGGGGATAAAACTTGCAAAAGGCAGTATTTCAAGTAAAAGTATCATTAAACTAGGACATTCTGTTGAAATAATGAGTCAGTTAGGCCAAAATGCCCTACAGGGAGATCTGTGCAAACAACATAGGCTCAATGCTGGGAATAACAGATGTATGAGTTATGTGACTGGAATATACACARGGAAACAAAGAATACGTTCAACAAAAAAATAATTCAARTTGATGTTAGCTTTTCTAAAATCAYATTCAGTTCAATTAGGCATACTAATTTGACTCTTTGGCATCGCATAGCTTAAAAGATATTTCTTAGTCTCAGTAAACTAAAGTATTATTTATAAATTGCATTTACATTCTTAAGCACATTGTCTTTGAGGTTTCCAATCACCAATCTATTTCCGTCTTTTATGAAGAAAACCTAAAGCAGAAAAGTTCTTAATATTTGATTTATGACAGATTCCTGACCATGTATTTTTAAGAGTCCTCCTCACCTTGTTTAATTAAACTTTTATTTTGTGCTGATATCTTTACATTTAATATCTAAGAAGTTTTTAAGTTGTAGAAAGTACTGATTTGCCTTGTGCAAGTGCTCTCCAGGAGAATGAGGAAAGCCCACAGTATGAAAACATAGGATAAATGGCAAAGAATTGAATGTTTAGCAAATTATTCTGTATGTCCTGACCTGAGTACTGCACTATAAAATGTAGTTATAGTACCATATCTTGACTAACATTAAAAAAAAAAAAAAAAAAAAAAAAAAAAAAAAAAAAAAAAAAAAAAAAAAAAAAAAGATAAAATCCTGTCATGTATAAACTGTTACTGTATTCAAAAGCTGTACTGTAAGGGATGTCTAGTCCTGCCTGGCAGCAAAGACACCAGAACATAATTATTCCACTTCAGTATTGGAATTGAAGGCCAGTTCAAGTTTTGTGACTGAAAGTGAAAAAAATCAGTTTAAGAGCAAAATCAGTTGTGATGGGGTCCACTCTCAGATGTGCTCAGCCTTTGTTTTAAAGTTGACTTATTTTAGCTTAGAATCAGTCAAAATGTTTCATTTTGAATAAAAGAAAACAATTCTGATATTTTCATTATTCTTCTGGTTTTTCAGTTTGGGTGATGGAGTCTTTTGGATTGAATGACAGCCACATATTTTCAGTGAATATTCTAAGCATCAACACAAAATTCGTAACTTTAATTGCAGTCATTTCAGCCTCTCCTTCAACCTCTCCTCTCTTCCTGGTTGTGACTGATATGAAAATTCTTAAAAAGAAGACACTGGCCCCACAGAGAGACCAGATTGCAGACATCTGTTACCTGTCCCATTGAACCCCACAGGTTCCTTTTCAAGGATAAGACTCCAGGGAACAGAACCTCTGAACTCAGGCAGCATTGCTGCAACTGTAGTCATTAGAAGAAGCAAAGCAAGGTGAAAATATTTGCAGTAGAGCACAAAATATTTTCCCATGGCTTAAACAGCATACTCTCATCTTGCTTATAATGTTTATAGAGAAAAAGAAATAAGCATGTTCTTTTGTCAGACTTCAAACATGTAGTAGCCCACCTTTAGAAATAATGCCTAAAGCACTTCATGTGTTCTTTAGGTGGGACAAAGGAAGATAGTTGGAGGATAAAGCTGGTTTAGCCTAACTGTCAGCTGTCAGCAGAGCAAAATCACTGCAGTTTGCTTCTGCAGTGTCTGCACCTCTC